GAATTTTATGGGAAAAATTATAATGCTTTAACGAGGGATATAAAAAGAAAATTAGAATGGACAAATATATACCGTGTTCATGTATGAGAAGGCTCAGCTTTTTAAATATATCAATTCTCCCCATATTTTATTTACATATTTTTAGAGGAGAATATATACAAATGTTGTGTGTATTTGTGTGTTTCATAAATAAATTCAATGCAATTCTAACCAATACCCCCATGAGATTTTTCAGGGAATTTGACAAGGTGATTTTAAAATCATGGGGTAGAGGTAGACAAATAGCAATAATAATAGCTAACATTTATTGTGAGCTAGCATTTTAAAAAATGTGAATGATACACCATACTAGACATAAAAGAATATTGCAAAGCTATAGTTAATTGTGTAATATGGCTAATATTGGTAAAGAGATCTGTGGAACAAAATAGAGTTTAGAAACAAACCTTGACTATTAACTAACCTTATTGTGGTAGTCATTTCGCTGTATATATATGTGTGTATGTGTGTGGGGGGGGGGAATCAAATCGTCACATCGTACACCTTAAATATACATGTTATATATGTCAATTATATTGCAATAAATCTGGAAAAAATTTTTAATTTAAGAAAAAAATAGACCATGTCATTTTTGAGAACATAATGTATATTAGAGGAGGCATTAAACGTTGGTGGGGAAAAGATGAACCATTTAATAAATGGTATCAAGTTAGTTCTCATGTGTAACATGCCTCACACTCAAAGATAAAATCCAAATGTATTAAAGACTTAACATGAAAAACGAAAACTTAGAAGAAAATATAGGATGCTGTCTTTATGCTATTAGAATAAAGAAAGCTTCTTAAATAATATGAAAAACATAGACCATAAAGAAAAAGATTGATACGTTGGACTAAATAATGTAAACTTATGTATCACACACACAAAAAAACCCTCCAAAAATGATGTTCAAAGACAAGCAACAGACTTGGAAAAGATACTGCCATATATATGACAAATGATTAGCATCTGAATATATAATTTCTACTAATCAATAAATATGAGAAAGACAATTCAAAAGAAAAATGGGCCAAGGACAAAACTCTGCAATTTGCTGAAGAGAAAACCCAGATGACTAATAAATATTGAAAGAATTTTCAGAACCTCTTTAATCATCATGGAAATTCACATTAAAATGAAATATTTTTCTTTTTAAAATGTATTATTGATCCTGAATAGCCAAAACAATCTTGAAAAAGAAGAACAAAGAGACCTTATACTTCCTGGTTTCAAAACATAATACAAAACCATAGTAATCAAGAAGGTATGGTTCTGGCATACAGACAGATAGACAGACATAGAACAGAATGGAGAGCCCAAAAGTAAATCCTTGCGTATATGGGCAAATGATCTTCAACAAGAGTGCCGAGACTACATACTGGGGAAAGGATGGTCTCTTCAACAAATGATGTTGAGTAAACTGGATATCCACATGCATAAGAATGCAGTTGGATCCTTACCTTCCACTATATACAAAAATTAAATTGAAATGGATTAAACACCTAAACATAAGACATAAAACTATAAAACTCCTAGAAGAAAACATAGAGAAATAACTTCAGGACATTAGATTTGGCAATAATTTTCTTAGATATGACACCAAAAGCACAGGCAACAAAAGTCAAACTAGGCAAATGGGACTACATCAAACTTAAAAATTTCTGCACATCAAAGGAAACAATCCTTATACATATAGTCCAGATATTAATCTTTATCAGATATATGATTTGCAAATTCAATTTTCCATTCTATAGGTTGTGACTACTACTGTTTTGTATTATGTTGTGAAACTATAGAATGGGAAATTGTATTTGCAAATCATATATCTGATAAAGATTAATATCTGAACTATATATATAAGGAACTTCTACAATTCAGTAACAAAAAGAACCAAATAACCCAATTTAAAAGTGGGCAAAGGACTTAGACAATTCTCCAAAGAAGATATATAAATGGCCAACAAATATATAAAAACATGCTCAGCATCATTAATTATAAGAGAAATGCAAATCAAAACCACAGTGAGATAATACCTCACAATCATTAGGAGAGCCACTATCTGAAGAACAGAAAATAAATGTTGGCAAAGATGTGGAGAAATTGGAACCCTTAAGAATGTAAAATGGGAGTATAAAATGGTACGGCCACTATGGAAAACTGTATAGCGTTCCTCAAAAAATAATCAAAAATAGAATTACCTAATGATCTAGCAATTCCACTTCTGGGTATATATCCAAAGAGTTCAAAGCAGGACCTTGAAGAGATATGTGCATACCTATGTTCATTGCAGCATTATTCACAATAACTAAGAGGTAGAAGCAACCCAAATGGACACTGGCAGCTAGATAAAAAAAAAAATTCACTATATACATTTTATAAGGGAATAGTATACAGCTTTAAAAAGGAAGGAAATCTTGTCACATGCAACAACATGGCTGAACTTCAAGGACATTATGCTAAGTAAAATAAACCAGTCACAAAAGGACAAATATTGTATAATTCCACTTATATGAAGTATCTAAGATAGTCAAAATCATAGAAACAAATTAGAAAGGTGGTTGCCAAGGCCTGGAGGGAGGAGGAAAAGGGAGTTAGTGTTTAATTAATGGATATAGTTTTAGTTTTGCAAGTGAAAATGTTCTAGAGATATGTTGCACAACAATGAATATACTTAACACTATTGAACTATACACTTACAAATGGTTAAGATGGTAAATTTAATGTTATTTTTATCACAGTAAAAAAAGTTAAAATTTTAATTTAACCAAAAAATTTATTATTACATTCAATATATAATAAATTCAAAGTGTGTAAAATGCATATGTAAAGTTTAAAATAATAAAATGTGCATTCATGTACCTACCACACAGCTTAGAAATAGAATATTATTACTACCTTAAAGGCTTTCTGTGTGCTCCTCCTCCCCCAGAGGTAACTATCCTGAACATTTAGGTTAATCCTTCTCTTGCTTTTCTTTATAGTTTTACCATAATATGTGTATCTCTAAGCAATATATTTTTGCCTAAATTGAACTTTATATAAATGGAATCCTATATCCAATGCCTGTAACTTACCTCTTTTTCTCTGATCTCTGATTCTCTTTTAAATATGAATCTCTTTGTTGCGATTCATCATACTGATGCATGGATATTCTTTTGTATGAAAAAACCACAATTTATTTTCTATTCTGTTCTTAATGGACATTTAGGATGTTTCCAGTTTTGAAGTATTACAAATGGCTATTAAGCCTGTGAATATTCTTGTACATCTCTTGGTCCTCGTGTACATATGCAAAAGTTTCTCTAAGCCCTAGATTCTAGAGTATAGATTTAGGTAAGTGAAAAAGAAATTGAAAACAACCTAAATATCCATCAAAAGGATAACAGATGAATAAAATAAGAGATTTATATGATGGAATATTATACAGTAGTCAAAAGAAATGAACCTAATTTTTCTGTATCATCATGGATAGATCCCCAAAACATATGGAAAAGACAAAAGTGAGAAAAACAAGAACAATGAATCACACTAGGTAAAAAGAATTTAAAAGCACACATAACACAATACCAAATATATGTAAAAATATAAAAAGTGAACTGGAAGTATACACACTAAATTCGTGATAGTGGTTGTCTCTCGGGAAGAAGGGAAAGGAGATTTACAGCTTTTTCTATAGTGTTTTATTTTCTTTTTTAAAAGGTTAAAAATAAGTATTACAAAAGATTAGCAGTTGTTAATTCTGAGTGGTAGAATATGGGTATTATATTGTTGTTTGTATTTTTTTGTACCTTTTTAAGTTTATTTTTTAAAAAAAGATTGAACTCAGAAGAATGTAGGAGAGAACGATGTGTAAACATTTAATTATTTAAGTGTTTGCCTAATAGTTCATCTACTATTCAAATTTTACATAATCATACTGTGGAAGATTTTTCGTGGTTTTCATTCTTTCGATATAATTTTTTAAAAAACGGTTAAAAAAAGAAATTTTGTGCAAAAAACCTTTTTCATATGTCATACTGTTTCCATAGGACAGATTTCCAAACACGTAATAATTGGGTCAAAGAGTGTGAACATTTGAAACATTTGCTGCCTTCCAGGCAACGGTACCAACATACTGTTCCTTTCGAAAATCCTGAGTGGGTGCTTTTTATAGGCGTAAAAGGTCCGTCCTTTAATTAATCTTAACTGATATTTAATTCTTCCACTTCGGAGATCCATACTTTTGCATTAACCTCTGGTTTAATCTGTGTTTGTCTAGATAAAATGTTGATCCCATTAATAAATGGACCCCAAAAAGAAGACATTAAAATGCTTTCTAAAGAAAGACTATTCAGAGATAGACTCTCCCCAGTATTGGAAGTAGGCGAGCAGAAACTGGACAATTATTTGGCAGAATGTTAGAGAGTCTTTCTTTCTTTCATTCTTCAAACCTTTAAATACCTTTTCCCTCAGCCAACTTCAAGGACCTGAAGACCTAAAGGTGAAATGGTACAGTGCCCACTCTGAATTTCAAAAGTTTGACTAAATGGCCCAGTCCTGGGATTCTCTGAATTCTTTGTTGCTGCCTGAACCTTAATTTTAGGCTTTAGAGGGTGTGCCAGTGCAAATGAACGACTGGAAATCCAGAAAATGAAAACAGCTTTTATGGGATTTTAATTAATTACGTTTCTTAAAGTTTAAGCTCACTTGTGGGTGTTGGATGCAAAGATAAATTCTTGCTGAAGGGACATTCAGGGACGGGAGAGGAAGAAACAATTTCTGGTGGGAGGAAAGCAAACAAAAAAGCAGTATCTGCCAGACTTCTTGTAATTTGGCTCGTTTCTTGTACTCTTCGACTCTGTGGTGCCAGGGTCCCAATACCCCACCAGATGAATTAGCGCCGGCGGGCGAACGAGCAGGGTGGGCCATTTAGTAGCCCGGAACCTCTTGTGAGGGTTTGTGCAGCCGGGCGCACTGGGAAACATTTGGCGCTGCACCGCCCTGCGCCATGCCCTTCAGCCCAGTGCTCCGAGGAGAAAGCGTACGACGTTGGTCCCCGCCGTGGTTTGTAGCTGGCGGTCTGAGGCCAAGCCTCAAGTAGGAACGGTATCATCATGATGAGAGGACGGCCGGGCCGAGTGCCCTTACAGTTCCTGCCGGATGAGGCCCGGAGCCTGCCCCCTCCCAAGCTGACCGACCCAAGGCTCGCCTACATCGGCTTCTTGGGCTACTGCTCCGGCCTGCTTGATAACGCGATCCGGCGGAGGCCCGTGATGTTGGCGGGTGAGGGCTGCGCGGGCGGGGTCGGCTGGGAGGAAAAGGGGTCGCAGGGCTGCAGGCCAGCTCCACCATAGGCTGCCTGAAGTGCCTCGCTTTTCCGGGCCTTTATAAAGCCTAGCAGGCCCTGCCTCACCTTCTTTAGCGCCTCCGCGCCTCATGAGCTCTTCAGAATCCCGCAGAGCCAGAGTGTCATTTGGCTCTTCAGGAAACTGAGGTGCCGTGAAACCCAGGACCCCACAGTGAGTCTGTGAAAGACCCGAGAATGGACGTCGAGCTCCCCTTTCAGTTCGTGCTGCAGTGTGTGCAAAAATGAGTGTTCATTCCCTATCATGCTCTACTGACAATACGTACATTGTAGCGTTTGATCCTCAGAACACCTTATGAGAAGGTGTTACCCACAATGAGGAAACAGCCTTAGAGAGGTTAAAGCAGCTTGCCCAAGGTCATATGGCTAATAAGTAGCAGAACCAGTTCAAACCAGTGCTTCTCAAATTTAATGTGCATACTACTAATAACCTGGCTCTTGTTAAAATGCGCATTCTGATTCTTTAGGTAGGGAGAGGCTTAATGTCAACACAATACCAAATACTTCTGATGCTGCTGCTCTGGGTACCTTACTTTTGAGTAGGACGCTCGAAACCACGGGGCTGTATTTTCTAGTAGTGTGTTAGTGGCATTCTGTTAGTTGACACAGAAGCTGTGTTAAGGGCAGTGGATCTACAAAGGGAAAAGTGGAGGGAAGCTCTAGAAGATGTATTTAAACTTAGCTTTGATTTATCAGGCAGATACTAGAAGAGAGCCTTCCCGTTCCATGGGACTAGTGGGAATGAATGAAGGCAAGAGCCTCTAGTTTAATTATTGAGTGAATATGCAGGGTAGGGCAATAAGGCTACAAAGGATATTAATTAGGTAGATCAGTGCAGTTTATCCTCTAGGCAGACAGGAACGTTTTAGCTTTAGATTGCTGCGGCGGGTAGGGGGAGACAGATACAATGAACAGACCTGTGTTTTAAAAGGTCAGCTTTGTCAACATTGTGAAGCACTGATTGGAGCCAAGGAATTCGGTTAGTGAGAAAAAAGCTAATAGAATGGTTCAGGCAACTGGGAATCACCTCACTTGTGCCTCATTTGCCTTCTTCCAGCTATATGTCATGCCTTCCAGCGATATGTCGCCAAACCTCAGTATTTCCAGTGCTCAAATAGTTCTGAAATCCTGTCTCCTTTGGACATGATCCTACTTCACAGAAAGGAGTGACTTTGACTATTTCTGCCTCTAGGGAGATAGAGTTTTCTCCCTTTTCATTACTACTCCACATTTGCTCGAACCTGTCTCTTGGTGTAAAGGAAAATTGCTCCACTTTGGAACTAAATGTCCTTGCTCCACTGCTTCCTAGCTGTGTCACCTTTGGCTAGTTACCTGGTCAGACAGTTCAGAGCCAAAGTTTCCTCATCTGTAAAATGAGAATAATTGATCTTTGCATATTTGTTGTGAGACTTGAGATTTTATAGGTAAAGTACATGGCACACAAAAGGTGCTGGACAAAGTTCCCTTTATTTTGTTCTTATGCAAACAGTTTACTTTATATTTCTTCCATATTTACAGAGCTCTTTCTCTGTGCCAGGCAGTGTTACATACAAGATATGCGGGGTGAGAATACTATCCCTGACCTTGAGGAGCTCCTAGTCAGGTCAGGGAGACAGAGAAATAGTCCATTATAGGTCTAGGTGTGACAAATATGTGTTTTGTTGGAAGTTGATGAGCAGAGAGCGCTTGGGGAGCACTAAGGAGGTACAGATCGGAGGGAGACTGTTCTGGAGGAAGTAAACGGCTGAAATGTGCATTATATACCACTTAATCTCGTCTCACTGTCAAACACTTTTTTGTGCCTTATCTGGGAGACAGAAGAACATAGTGGTTAAGAGCACATGCTACTCCATCCTACTAGCTTTTTGATTCTAGGGAAGTTAACATTTCTGTGAACTTTAGTCTCCTTATCTGTAAAATAGAGGATTATTTCCCTCTTTGAGCAGCTGTGAGAACTAGATGAGCTATGATGTATATAAAGCGCTTAGCCCAGGGCTAGGGTTCAGTTCCTCAATTCCCTGGGTTTCCCTAAGTTGCTTTGGAAAATTTAGGTCTTGAGGACTTTATTGAATTAGTATCCTTAGCAGCATTTATTGAAAGAATATTGTGTTTGTCTAGCTCAATGTGTGGCATATAGTGGTGATTCCTGGCTGTCTTAACCCTCCAAAGATTTACAAACCAGATGAGCATATTAAAAAGACAAATCGTAGTACAAGTTAAGCACATAGAATGATGGGTGTGACAGTCGCAAGGGTGGGAAAGGAGAGCCATGTGGTGGATTTTCAAACTATGGCCCTTAGAGTACCTGGCATTCTGTAAATAATATTGGAATATTCTATCAGTCAAATTATACAGATCTTTTCAAGTTAGCAGAAAAATATTAAATAGAATTTTTCCTTAAGCTTTTTTCCTATCACTTGTTTTTAAACTCTTATTGCTGGTTACCCTTACTTGCCCTTAATTTACAGTTAGTATCTAAATATAGTCCACAAAAGTAAATATTTATTGATTTCTAGTTTAATTTATCAGTAATTTACAGCATTCTGCAAAGAACACCATGGCTTCCAAGTTTAGGTTCACTTAGTAAAGGACAGAAGGGGAAAATGATTGTCGAGGGGTTATGTATGTGGTGAGAAAAAGACTACCACTAAAAGAGAGAGGAGTTTAGAGAAATGGAGACTTGGGAGGAGGCCAAGCCATGCCTTGTAGGGCTGGGACTCTGGCATCATTTATGGAGTCTTTCTGTGTGAGGGGTAAGGGTAAAGACATAGAAAGTCTGGGTCTTTGTAGTCCAGTGGCACATAGGACAATCCAGCACATTTTGGTTGGCTGTGTTGCAGATAACCAGTTAAGGGTAGCAGTGGCTGTTTAGGGTAAGAGACAACACAAAAGAATCCATGTCCTGTCCAGTCCCAGATCATAATATTTTACATTTTTGTTGTTTTACACATTTTTCCAAAATACTTTCATACGCATTTTGGGCAGGGGAGGGGTATGTACTACTGCTTTAAGAAATGGCTTTGCCTGGTAATTTCTTTGTTTTATAGATAGTAAATTAACTTGCTCAAGGTCATTCATCCACTTATGAAATGTTTATTAAGTGTTGCCTATATGCTAGTATGGAAAGGTGAATCAAACATTGGCTTTGCCTGGTAGTAGAGAAAGAAATAATTACTATAGCAGTTTACATATTAATAGAGATAAGTTCACCCTTTTAACTCCAGGAAAGTTCTGGGGAGAATTCTTAGCAGAAATGATGTCTAAGTTGAGTCTTGAAAGATCAAGAAGTCATCAGAGAAAGAACCAGTGCATGGTATGTAGAAGCATGAAGAAGCCTCATTTGTGTGAGGAATTAAAAGTAGTTCAGTATTGCTGGAGCACAGTGTGCATATCAAGGAGTGTCAGAAGATGAAGATGGAGAGTCAACTCGTGAAGGACTGCAGGAGTTAGGACTCCTTTTGAGCATAATTGAAGGAGAAGGAACCAACAAGCTAAGTTTGTATTTTAGTAAAAATTAGTGACAGGATAAAAGGTGGGATGAGTATGGAAACCAGTTAGAGCAAATGAGAGATAAGTTCCTTGAAGTGAAGAAAGGAAATATTTACAAAGTAGAATTGACAGTACTTAGTGACTGGATGTGGGGGAAGAGGGTAGAATAAAAGGGATGATTACTGTATTTATTATCCAAGACTTGGATTCCTAGGTCAATGGTCTTATTCTCAGACTTAGGAGAAAGAGGTATGAATAGGAAGGAAATGAGTTCATTTGGGGATGTTTAAAATGAACATATCTGTCAAACATTTGACGTATCTGTTATTCAACATGAGTGTCTGAGTTGATGTACTTATGGATCCTGAGCACATGGGTAGTAGATAAAACCACAGAAATAAATTAGTTCTCCAAAGGGATATGTGTGGAATAAGATGTGGAGAGCTGGGAGTATAATTGTGGGGCTTAGCTAGAACATCAGATCTGCAGTTAGCCTTTTTTATTTTTTTTATTTTTGCAGTTAGCCTTTTGCAAAAAATGTCTCCATATATAAAGTTCATACCTCTGGATCTCTTTTCAGACTTTAAATCTTAGCTTTCTCTAGATCATATGATTTAATCCTCTCTGGTCTCATGATAATAGGATGATTTTTTTAATAGGGTAATTTTTAAATACAGTTTTTGAATAGGTAATACATGCAAATGGGATAAACTTTAGAAGGGACAAAAGAGAATTGAGATATATTTGTAGTGTAGCTTACTCTTTTAATAACCACTAAATATGCAAATATAAATTGGTATATGGAGACAAACCAGATTCTGTTTAGACCATCTGCTCATCACATCCTGAACAGGGGCTAGAATACAAGTTAGGTTAGGTCTAAAGTTAACTTATTGAAAAAGAAAAAAAGATATTTTTCTGTTCTCAGTCTAACATTCAGGATTTGGTACTTATCTACCTTTTTCCATGAAGAAATTTCTAAAACCTTGGGTTCTATTGATAGTTATGTTTGTAGACTTAATGTTGCTTTTTGTAATTACCAGATTTCTTTAAGAAGAGATCTCAAGGTCAAGGCTATTTGTTCAGAATCGTCATATAGAAAAGCCCTTTTTTAAAAAAAAGTTTTAGAAGAAATAATAATAAATTATATATCTGAAATATAAGAATATAATCTTTAATACACATTGACTGATTTTTGCTTTCTTTGGGATTTGTCCTTTGAATTTCAGGTTTGCATCGCCAACTTCTATATGTTACCTCCTTTGTTTTTATTGGATACTATCTTTTAAAACGTCAAGACTATATATATGCTGTGAGGGACCATGATATGTTTGCATATGTAAAATCACACCCGGAGGATTTTCCTGAAAAAGGTATTTCAAGTTAATTGTAGAAAACCTCTTTCTTACTCTGCGTAATTTTCCCTGGCTTATCTTTTCCATGCCTGTGTCTTCAGGTACCTCCTCTATTCTGTTGACTCCTACATCTTTATCTATAGACCAAAATTCTTTTGAATTAGTATATCCAGTTTCTGGCTAATTACCTTTGCGTCCTGCTTCAGTGAATGACACTACTGTCCACCTAGGTACTCCAGCCAGAAGCCTGGGAATCATCTTCAAGTCTTTTCTCTTTCACTTCCCATTAGTCATTATGTCTTACATTCTACTTCCTATTTCTCAACTCTAGACTCTCCTTTCTCTCCCACTGCTACTATCCTGGTTCAGGCTCTGATAATCTTTTGCTTGGACTGTTGCACTTGCCTCCAGCTCACATCTCCCTTGGTCTTACTGAAGTTTATATCTCAGGCTCATTGCCTGGTAGAAACACTTTGCTCATTCCTTTTATCTACCACATTACATACACACAGGTCCCTCATTGGACTTAGCTTCGTCTTTGTTTTTCTAGCGCAGGGCCTACACATAATAAGCACTTAATAAATAATAGCTGACCTGAACTGCACAGAACCCTGCCTCATCCCCTTCATAACTAATTTTTGCCTCATGAAATCTTCCCTATACCACTTTGTACATACTGTACCTTCTTCTTAATCCTCCTCTAGCCTTGTTTCCACCTTGTCCATCTAGCAAATTCCTACGAAAGATTCTCAATCTCAGTGAGGCTTTCAGCCAGCTACAGACAGGAATTTTCTCAGCACACTCTACTTTTCTCTGTTCAACTGTGAATATAATTATAACTCTTCTTTTTGTTATTTTACACACATACACGCAATACAGATGTGCACAAACGTGAATGATGAAGAAAAATTTTGAACTCATAAATATAAATGTTAAATATATTTTTCTATTTATGTAAATGTATAATATTAAACATTTAAATTTCATTAGACCGAATGATGATTTCTAAGGTTCTATTTTGCTCTAAAATTATGTTACTCTGTTTAATATTCCCATAGCCTTCAGTCACATATGTAATGTGTATGGTGGATCAAAAAGATACAGGGATATTTTTGCCAATGAATAGCTCAAAGACTAGTTCAAAGCCATGAATAGTGACTGTATCAGAGATGGGGAATACTCAGAACTGCTGGATATTAGAGCTGGAAGGAATCTTGGGAATATGATTCCTGAGAATGAAACCCAGTGGCAGACCAGTCCTCAGTCCCAGACCTCTGGCTCTTTGCCTTGATTTTTCACTAGCTCCCTCAGTGTATAGCCTCACAGGCTCATTCTGTCTCTGAGCAGCAGATTACTGGCAGTTATGCGAAGAGCCTCACGCACTGATGATATGAACATGGAGAGCTTGACCACCTCAGCTCCAGGCCCCTCCTAGCTGACCTATGTCCATCCCTCCCTGTTCATTTCCTCCTTTATCCCTTCAGTCAGGATCCTTCTGGCAGCATTTTGCCATATGGATATCACCACAGATTTTTCCAAAGTTATTCTTCATTCAGTGAAGCAAATGATCACCAAACCATGGTTGAGGACAAGAAAATGAGAAAATTCTTAAGAGTTTCTATCTGTAAGAATATTAAGTATTCATTTTTCTTTAGGAAATATAATTTTCAAAACAATTTAAAAATAAACCTTTGTGATCTTTTCTTTTATAGATAAGAAAACTTATGGTGAAATTCTTGAAGAATTCCATCCAATACGTTGAAATCTCCAAAATGCTTGTTCCATTTTCACTGATACAGTTATTTCTGAATTTTGTGGAACGTGTTTTCGTGATATCTAAAGTTTATATTAATCTGTGTGTTAACACCTTGAGATTAAAATGGTCACCATGAACATTCTGACTCCTTTTTGTCGTAAGAAAATCATTTATCAGAGAGTGGTTAGTTTCCATTCACCCAATTTTAAGAAGACATCTGACAGATTTTAAAATGGAGTTTAGTTCTAGTTTGGAGTTGGCACACTATAGCCTGTAAGCCAAATCTAGACCACTGTTAGTACAATTCTATTGGAACACAAGGTTCATTTGTTTACATGTTGTTTATGGCTGCTTCCATGCTATAACAGCAGAGTTGTATAGTTGTGAAGGCCTAAAATATCTAATATATGGCCATTTACAGAGAAGGATTGCCTGCTCCAGTTCTAGTGCAAAGCAAAACAAAGCAAGCCAGATTATGGAGGGTTTTGTGAGTCGTGTAGAATAATTTTGACATGATCCTATAGGCAATGGGAAGTCACTAAAGGGTTTTAAATGGGAATAACATGGTCAGGTTTGTATTTCTGAGCTTGCTCTGCAATGATATAACGGGTGGTTTAGAAGTAGGAGACTCAAGACCAGGAGAATGGAAAACTGATACTACAAATGGGGTCTTTGCTTTTAGATGGATCATCCTGAAGAAAGTGGGCTTAGTGCCAACACTCTACAGCGGAGCTCAGTGCAATTAGTAGTAAAAGACACCCTACCTAACTGGAATGAGGTTACTCTCTATGGCTCATCAAATCCAAATGCTTGTCCAGAAAGTTTTTGTTTCCAAGCTCAGATTTATCAGATTAGTTTTTGGAGATTAATAAAATTGTTTCTCTTTATACATGATTTTAAATTAGGAGGCAGTGTGACTATGGCAGTAGATGGTTTCTGGGCAAAATCAGATGAGTTCCATCTCTCAAGTTCCGCTTGTTAAATATGAAATCATGTCTGAGAACATACTTCTCAGGTCTTGAGAAATTAATAAAGATATGTACAAATAGAAAAATAGTGTAGATGATAGAGGGTTTGTTCACCTGCTCTTAGTAGCACATCAAAGTTGTGACGGAAACACAGCAAACAGCAAGCAGAGTCTCCTGGGGTCTAGATGAACAAGCCCTACAACTGGGGAGAGAAATAAGAAATCATCCTGCAAAGGGAGGCAGTAGGACGGAGCAAGGACGCAAGGCTTCCTGGTCTCAAGCAGCTGAGTGGGATGGAGGCTGTGGTAGCTGCAGCTGCAAACGCTTCTTAAAGGGGCCATGTCCAAAACCAGATTTTCGTAGTGAGGGACTCGCTCACTCTGAACACCAGTGCCCGGTCAGCTGCTCGAGGGGCACCAGGGACTTAGAGGGGGACACTGAGTTGTTGGAGTGAGGGCTGGAGGTGAGGTTTTTCTCCCACACAGAAGTGCTGGTGGTATCCATTGTTCCTTTGTTGAGCCCTCCCCACTCCCAGTGTGCGACATAGCTGAGACGTCATCAAATTGGATAACAGAAGTTGCTCTACCCAGAGATTCCCTGAAACTTAGCTTCCTTCAACTTGCATCCCCACCAAGCCACATCCAGTTGTGTCCTTGGTGAGTCTTGTGCAACTTGCTGAGCAGTGCCAAGACTCACACTGGTGGCCGCTGACCTTGGTTTCTGGTGTAGCTTCTTGAGGCAACTATAAACACAGCATCTGTGGATTGCTTACTGAATCAACAGGTGGCCCCAGAGGGACACAGGCTGGGGCTAAAACTGGCCTGCTGCTGAACTCTTTTCAGGATGCTAATAAAACCGGAAGACTTAGAAGCATTGCTTAGTACATAGAAACAGACACAGAAAGGCAGCCAAAATAGGAAGACAAAGAAGCAGAAACCATATGAGAAACAGAACAGAGATCCAGGAATAGTGGAGTCAAGCAGTCTAACAGATGCAGAGTTCAAAACACTACTCAATGAACTTAAGGGAAGAATAGATGAACTCAGTGAAAACTTTAACAAAGAGATAGCATGCATAAAAAAGGAAATAAAAAACCACAAAAAAAGAACCAGTCAGAAATGAAGAATACACGAGAAGGAATCAACAGTAGAATGGACAAAGCAGAGGATTGATCAGCGATTTGGAAGACAAGGTAGTAGAAAACACCCAATCAGAACATCAACAACAATAAAAAGAATGCGAAAGAAATAAGGCTAGTTTAAGAGACCTCTGAGACAAGATCCACCATAACAAAATTCACATAATAAGAGTACTACAAGGAGAAGAGAGAAAGCAAAAGATTGAGAATCTATTTGAGGAAATAATGACTGAGAACTTCCCTAACTTGGTGAAGGAAATAAACATATAAGTCCAGGACGTAGTTACCATTTAGAGTTGAAGGACAGATAAAGAGCTTCCCAGACAAAAATAAGCTAAAGGAATTTATCAACACCAAGCCAGTAAATATTACAGGAATTGTTGAAGGGACTTCCTTAAGAAGAAAAAATGTTTCAAAAACATGAATAAAGAATGGTAATAACTACATATCTATCAATGACTACCTCAAATGGAAAAGAATTAAGTGCTCCAACCAAAGGATAGGGTGGCTGAATGGATAAGGAAACAAGCCTACTATATATGCTGCCTACAAAAGACTCACTTCAGATTAAAAGACACACACAGACTAAAATAAGGGGAAGGAAAAAGATATTGCCTTGATGGACCTAGAGGGTATTGCACTAAAGGAAGTAACTCAGATAGAGAAAGACAAATACCACATGATTTCATATATATGTGGAATCTAAAGAACAAAATAAACATCAATAACGACAAAAATGAAAATAAACTCATAGATACGGAGAATATTTTGAGGGCTACTAGACAGGAGGGGATTGGGGGGATGGTGAAATAGGGTGGAAGGGATTAAGAAATACAAATGGATAGTTACAAAATAGTCATAGAGATATAAAGTATAGCATAAGGAAAATAGTCAACAATGTCGTAATAAATATGTAGGGGGGAAGAGGGGTACTAGATTTAGTGAGGTGATCACGAGCTCTAATTACTTATCTGTACAACTAAAACTAATATATTATTGTTTCACCAACTATAATTGAAAAAACTCATTGACTTGTACAATGTAAATATGAGCAACTAATTGTCTATTATATTTCAATAAAGTTGGGAAAAAAGATATGTACAAATATAATGTTTTATTTTTTTATTGCTACTGCACTAAATAGGTTTATAGTTCACCTGTGCTCAATGGGTACAAGAGTGGGAACCACTCATCCCAAGATACTGTGCTACCTCTTAGTTCTGCAGGGTTAAAAGCAAGGGCTAGAGCAAATACAAAGTGAGAGTAAGAGAAACAATTAGCTTATAATAGTAGCACTTAGACTCCAGGGGCTTTTAATTTATCTTGTTTAATTTCTATAACCTTGTGAGGTAGGTAATACTATCCTCATTTTTAGTTGAGGAAATTTAGATTCCAATGGGTTAAACTTGTCCAAGATCACAATGAACAACTGCCAAGGGAGGGGAGGTAAACTTTGGTTGGTCAGATGCTATGCTTTTTCTACCATACCACACTGGCCCTCATGAACCACTGACCACCACCCCAAGCTGGTCAAAGAAGAGTGAGGGGGAGTTGCGAACAGCAACAAGCATCCTAAAGGTGACCCAGTGATGAGTTCACAAGTTAGTGCTCAGAAGGAGGTAGAGAAGCATCCCGGAGAACTGAGTCGCCTCACTTTCAGCTGCAGATCCAGGTCTTTCTGGTCTCATCAGGGCTAGCAAACTGCTCCATGTCTTCGTCACAGAGTCTACCTTCTATCATGTAAAGGGATCTGTGGAGTACAAAAATGTTTAAAAATAAAAAATCAGTATAAATCCACACCACTAAGGTACTGTCACATGCCTATTGAAATAGGAAATATAATGAAAAGGCTCATTGGTGTTGCTTTTAGAGAATGCTGGCAGTGTTACATCACTTTAAGAAAAATCAGGTTATCAGAGCTGCAATAACTCTTCCAGTTACACCTCTAAATTTTACTAACAGAGAAACTACGATGCAGTAAGGTGAATAATTTATCCAAGTGTCAGTGGCGGAGCCAGGATATGAGCACAGGTTTTTTAACTTCTGCCATGACATACAGCCTCCACAAAAATCAAGTTAGGGTGTGTTGAAGCATTGTGGTGTAGAATCGCTGCTCCTGTCTTCAAAGCATTTTGACTGGTCAAGGAGTGGGTGTTCTATCCACACTGTCATCCCCAATTTCCTCCTCCATCCCAGGCTGCAGAATTCTGAGGCGCTAATGAATTCACTAATGTAGAGAAAGGGAATTAGATGCAAGTTAGGCCAGGGTTCATTTATCTGGTTCTGCTATTTCCTGAGTACCTTTGGACTCATTTTACTTCTCAGGCCTCCAGTTTTTTCATCCGTGAAAGGGGGTGATAATTCTGTTAGATAATTGATATTTGAGTGGTTTTAAACTGTAGAAGTATTTAATTAGTAGTTGTTATTTTCACCACTACTGTTATTATTCAGTTAACTGAAACCCAGAGAAGTCAGATGGCTAAACCAAGGCCACACAGCTCATTAGTGGTAGAACCAGAACTTGACCCCAGAGCTGTTGACCCAGCCCAGTTATATTTAAGAATCTCTGAAAGGCAGTCCAGGATGCCTTGAAAAGAGAGAGAAGCAGGGTTAAAGTTGACAATTTGAGTTTGGGTTTGAGATAAGGGAAGGGAAAAAGGCTGAGGAAATACCTGAGTGTAACTCTCCATAGGCTGTGTGTTCAGGTCCCTGTTTATTCCCCACTATTACAGAGTGGCCTTCAGGCAGAGTATGAAGATAACACATATGGCTGAGTTTGGGTGTAATGGAAAGAACACTCAGATCAAATTTGGGGCAAGTCTTGCTTTTGTCCCCTTAATTGTGATCAAATTTGGGGCAAGTCTTGCTTTTGTCCCCTTAATTGTCCCCATAATTGTGACTTTCAGTCAATCACTTCATCTCTGGCTTTAATTTCCTTACTAGTAAAATGGGGATAAAAGTCCCGCCCCACATACCTACACTGGTGATTTTGAGTCCCATAGACATGAGTATGGTTTATCACTGAAGAAACAATTTCTGAGAACAGAGCTGGCAGGTGGCACAGGACCCAAACTGGCAGGTGCTATAGCCAAATTTCTCCTATTCTTCACCCAGGAGTAACCACTCACGACTGTACCAGGTCCTCTTTCCATCACCTACCTGGTGCCACCACTTGTTTGTATAGCTCGCTGCCCATCCATACCTCACAACTCTAGCCCTTCTGAGCATAGACATATGGGCTCAGACGCCAACACTTGTATATGTCCTCACAAGAGGGCTTCTCAGTGGGCATGCCTCCCATTGGTGTGCCTGCAATGGATTAGAGTATCAAGAGAGCAGTTCTTAAGCTTTCCATTTGGCTGGCTGCAACCTGGGATGGTCTGAGTAACCCTGCCAGTTGCAGAAATACTGTGAGCAGCCTCTCCTAAGTACCTGCATTTGTCATATAATTTTTCATGTTTTGCCTTGAAAAATGTCAAGAAGCACTGCCACACACATAGAATTGACAATTTATCTGAGTAAATAGCCATACCTACTAACAAATGCACACATGCATAAACACATATCTGTGTACATAAGGTACACACTTTTGCTTCTGCCTCCATAACAGTTCATGGTCATTACTCACCAATTCTGGGTCAGGAGAGTAAGGCAGGCCTGGCCTTGGGCCCTCCCAGGTGGTGGTCCCAATATCCTGAAGTGAGGGTGGCTCTATCTGAGACCCAGTAGCACCACTATTTCCCCTCCTCCCCCAGAATGTCCCTCAGTGGACTCTGATACCCACTAGCATGGCTACCATTACCTTCCCTAGAGTCTGAGGCCTACTTGGCCTGTCGCATTATCTCCTGGTATGTCCTCGTGACCTCCTCAGCTTTCAAAGTAAGGTGGGTGAGGATGCGATGAAGGCTGGAGAAGTGCAAGTGGAACTGGGCTTCCAGGTCCAGCTGCCCCAAGACCTCATCCTCAGGCTCCTCTGTCTCTGCAGCTTCATTTTCAGCCTCGTCGGTTTCACCGCCTGCCATCTTGACCTGCCACTCCTCCCGGGGCAGCAGCCCGTGATCCACATCCACACAGATGGCCTTGAGCATGGTGAAGTAGTTGTAGAGATCAGGCGCCCCAGCCCGGGCCTGGCGCCCAGGCACACTCAGCTGCACATCCCGCAGAAGGCTGGGGAGCATAACCACCTGCTCCATGTTATGCACCACAGCCGAGTACCGGTCCATAACAGTCAGCAGGCAGTTCTTAGGGTAGCGCTTGGTTAGCACCTGCATGGTTGCTTCCTCTCCCACACTGAATTCAGCACACTGCACCAGCACTATTTCTAGGCTGTTTTTTTTTATGTCTGGATGCAATGGCAGTTTGACAGGATGCCAAAGCTCAGTCAATGGGTCAACACAGCCCTGTTTTAGACCAATCACAGGGCTTGGGCACCCACGTCTGTATCAGGTGATCCATCTGGCCAGGGGCAGATCTGTCAGTCTTCTGCCTGTCGTCATTTCAGCACTTCCTGATGTCTCAGCAAGAACCTAGCTTCTCCTCCACTGGCTTGCAGAGCCAGAGTAACAAGGAAGGTTTTCCCTTTGGTAACTAGTGCACTTGACCCCAGGGCAGTAATTAACTCTTTCAGGTCACCTGAGACCAAGATGCCTCTTGCTGCCTGCTTAGAGTGGCCTCTAATGCACAGTTCACTTCTCCGACCTTGGGTGCCTCAGCTGAAACATGAATGAGGAGGGTTGTGAAATGACCCCGCTTAGTGGAGGGCAAAGAGCACTGAAGTAGGAGCCAGAAGTCCAGTCCTGCAGTTTCCTAGCTGTGTGTTTTGGTCATTTGCCGACTAACACTATTCAGCACCTACTTCGCAACAATTTCTGCACTAAGCTTTTACAAGTCATCTCATTTAATCTTCACCACAACCCTACAATGAATGTTTTAATCTTCCTGTTTTACCAATGAGTAAGCTGAAGTGCAGACAGCTAAAGTAACTTGGCCAAGGTCCCATTGGAGCTGGGATTCCAGCCCAGGACTACCTCTATTCTACCTCCAGTCAGTGCTCTAGACACATGTGAGGTTGCATAAGTTATACAGGTTCACTGGGTCCATATCTTTATCTGTAAATTTGAGGTGTTATTGTGAGGATCGAATGAAACAAAGCTAAAGAAAATGCTTTGTAAGCCACAAAACACAGTCCCAAAATGTATTATCTGTGCAGATTCTAGATTCACGCTGGGATCCCTCCCAACTCTAACCTGTAACTCCAAAAGTTACAATGCTTCTCTTTTCCTATTGACCTAGTCCTTTGGCCAATGTCTAGGAAGACAATAATCCTTTTCATAGTCATATTATCATAATTAAGTACTGACTTCGTTATATTTTTTATGAGATAACCAGGAAAATGAGGTCCAGAAGGAGGATCGAAGTTGCCCAGCAAGTTAGTGGAGCGGTCAAGTGGAGAACAAAACTTTCAGAGTTCTGGTCACAATACCGCCTGGGGTAGAAGGATCTGCTAGGTACCTTCTTCCCAGCCAGGGAGGAGACAGGTGGGGAACTTGTCTCACTTGAGCAACCCTCACCTCTACCCTACTACTGGAGGACCCAGTACACCCTCGGGATTGACAGTCACCCACTTACCCACTCCATCCCACTCCTATGGACAGGGCTCTGAGAAAGTTCAACTTTACGTTAAACAGAATTCCACCTCCCTTTAGCCCCTCCCCATTAAATTACAATATTCACCCCACCCCCCAAATCACTGACCTTAACTACACTTATATCAGCACAACAGGGCAGTGTGAAAAATCATTTCCCAGCCTCTAGCTCACTCAGTGCCCACAACATGAGGCAGAAAAACATTAGAATCCCCCTTTTCAGATGAGGAAACTGAAATTCAGAAAGGAGGAGGTACTGGCCAAAAGTCTCAGACATGACAGGAGGAGGCTCGGCCCAGCTCTCCAGGCCTCCGAGGAAAACAGCAATTGTCCCTCTCACCATGTGCCCCTTTATGGGCCTACTGGGTACTAGCTGCAGGTGACCTGCATTAGACAGTTGACCTTACCTCTTTGGAACAGAGGGCAGCCAAGTTCAAGCACCTGCTGTGATCGGCGAAGCTTCCACTTTAACCCTTTGTGTACTATAAATTGTGGAGTGGAACAGAAAGCACGGGCTGGCTCTTCATCTCTCTGGCTGTGTGGCCCTGGGCTAGTCACTGCTCTTCTCTGAGCCTCAGCTTTCTCCTCTGTTCTAATAATAAGAGGAAGCATTGATTGAGGGCTTGCTATTCTAAGCAAAGTGCTTAGAACAGAACTCAATCCTCCCAACAATTATATGTGGTAGACGTTCCCCATTTACAAAGAAGGAAATTGAGGCCTAAGAAGGTAAATAATTAGCCTAAGAACACACACTCTTAGTTCTAAGGCAAGGAGGAGTTGGGGTGAGTAATAACTCCTATCCATAAGTCATTATGAGGGTTAGAGACGATGTTCGTGAAATATCTGGTATAGTCCAAGACCTCAGTAAATATGCACTGCCTTCTGGCACTTCTCTTTTCTTACACTATGCTCTTCCAATTCTTCATTTATTTCTCCATCCTAGGACTTGCTACACACATTTTGGTTCATTTTGCACCTGTCCTAGGGCCCAGCACTGCAAATACTTGGTGGGTACTGACTGAATAGTGACCATTAGATTCACTTCTTGATACATTCTAGGATGTTTGGTCATAGTGTCCAGTCACCTTGACAGGGTCCCCAGCTTGGTGGGAGGCAGTAAGTGAGGCCTTTGGTAGGTGAGGGAGTCCACGTGGCTACAGCCGCACACAGCCACCCGAGAACTGCATGCAGCTGCAGGAGCTCAACACCACCTTGTGGGCCTGAGTCTAAGCTGAGGCTCCTTTCCAGGATGACTCTTAGGGAAGGAAAGTATGCTATGCCCCCGTCCTGACAGTCTTCATTCTGCAGGGTGCTGTCCCAATACTTTATTGCAAACAAAACTGTTAGAAGACACATTAGCCCAGTATTATCTCCATCAGTTAGCAGGATAAAGAATTTGCATAAAATTGTTTCCTAAACTATGCGTGGAAAGAGCAAGTTTTCTAAATTAATAGATTAAGTGAACAAATTTAATTTTAACAGCTTACTTAAGTAAACATTTGGCTAATTCATTTCCAGCCCTAAAACATTTTTTTGTTTGTTTTCGACTTTTACTGGGAAAAACATTCTTAAAATGTGTTCTCCTGAGGAAAATGGAGCATTCCTTGTGTTTGAACATCCAGGATGGCTGAGCAGTGGGTGTGGCCAAAGACCATGAAGCTGGACATTGTAGCCTGTCACCCAGCCCACCTGTGAACAGGCTCCCTGAGCACCAGTGTCCACAGCTGTAAAGCGAAGGGTTTGGAGATCTCTGAAGGGAAGGCCCTTCGAGCCCTGGTTGTATAACTCCTTCTGGATATTACCCTGCCTTAGTTCTTGTGTTTTTAACCCAGTCCCAGGGTCACCAACCCAGAACTGGAAAACGTGATGTGCTGTCTGTGCACAGGGCTGGGTGAGCTGACCCTGGCATGACAGGCAAGTCAAGAGTGTCCCCCAAGTCGGAGCCTCCTTCTTTTTTCACCCAGTGGCCTGGGCCTCCCTGGGCCGACCCTGCCTCACCTATTTAACTAGGGGCTAAGCTTTGTTAAGGCATCTCCAGCTCAGACTTGGGGGGGACTCCTCCTGAGCACATGGCCCCTTGGCCCCACTGTGTTTGTATCTTAATCCCCCTTCAGGCCAGTCTATTCCCAGACCTATCCCTGGACCTGGTCCAGGGAGATTGTGTAAGTGCCACATGAGTGACTAAATGGGTGTGTTAGTGGAAAAGGGAGAGAGTAAGCGAACTGGTAATTGGGGGAATAACTGAGCTGTGTCGGTGAGGAAGTGCAGAGGAGTCCTGGGAAGGAAGGAGAGGAGGGTCCACACCACCAGAGCTATCTGGCCAGCAGGCTACCTGGCAGATGGAAAGCTCTGGATAAAATGTTGCTGAATCAGCAGCTGCCAGTCATCTTGGGTTAGAATCCAGAGAGCAAGGATCCAAGTGGATAGACTCAGACAAGTTCTAGGAGTGGGGAGAGGAGGAAGACAGGAAAGAAGGGATGTGGAGTCTTCTTGGGGGAATGCAGTGGAGCAGGGCCCCATGGACTCAGGTATTCCTGCTCTCAAGATGCCTCATCCCAGGGTTGGGAGGTCTTCTGGTCCAGCTGAGCACTGAAGGTGGGGAATCCTAGCAATGGAAAGGAGGGAATTCGCAGAAGCTGTACTAAATCTCAAGTGTCATTCAGTTTCCTCAGTCTTTCCTCCTGCCCTTAGGTGGGGAAACTGAGGCTGGGTAAGGCACTTCACTGGAATGGCCTCTGCAGAGCTAGCTGCCTGTGGTCTCATGCACCGGGTATCTGAATGGCCCATCTCGGACAAACTGAACTGGCTCCAGATAGACTGGCTCTAGATAGGCAATCACCAGGCCAGGAACACCATGTGAATGTGGTACAAGGGGAAGGATGATCACATCGTGCCCCAGGGCTGCCAGACTCCAAGCAACCCTAGCTGGGCTTGAGCCCAGGAAGCTACAGAAGGGACTCAGACAAAGGTTGCAACGAGTTTTCTATCTTTAAAAATGATTTTTATACACACACATATTACCTGATAGCTATAGGCCTCGGGGTGTTTTTCTTCTCATTGTCACTCCAGCCCTGACCCACTGGGGAACACATGAGGTCAAGAGTCAGGAGCTGCTCCACCCGCCTCCCCCAGTCCCTGAGCCCCTGCTGCGTGCCCCTACCCTCTGCTGAGCCACAAGACCAGGAGAAAACAGGATATGGTCCCTGCCCTCCAGAACTCGGCTCCCTCTGTATCCTGGGAGACCTCATGGATTGAGAACCTACTGTGTGCTTGCACTGTGCTGGGCCTGGGGCTATAACAGGACATGAGGCAGACAAGGCACTCCACTCAGGCAGTTTATATCTAGTGGTAAGAAAGCTACGATGAATATATGCCCAGATAAATATGATGATATCACATTGTGACATGCAATAGGAAGAAAATACAGTAAAATAATGAGCTAGAGCCTTGCTACTACAAGTGTGGTCTGAAGACCAGCAGCATCTAATCACAAGAGAGCTCATCAAAAATGCAAGTTCTCAAGCCCTGCCCAGCACCTACAAATCAGAAACTGCGTTTTAACAAGGTCCCCAGGAAATGCCTATGGCCAGGAGTCAGGAATTCACTCCAAACACATGATTAGTACCCCAAGGAAGAAT